GTTGCAGAACCTCCCCGCCGTGCCCGCCGTGCCCGTCTTCCCGCTGTAGGTGCAGAAGTTGGGCGACTTCTCGAAGTAGACGAGGTCGTGGGGCGAGGGCGGCTTGTGGGCCGGGTTCTCGGGCTCCAGGTGGTGCAGCTCCACCCGCGACGCCCGGTTGCTGCCCTTGTTGCCGTAGATGACGCGGGAGGCGCCGTCGAAGCGATCCTTCAGGACGTCGCCCACGGCGCGGAAGGTGGGCAGCCGCATCCAGCAGGTGCGGACGGTGCAGGAGCCCGACATGCCGTGGCACTTGCACTCCTGGCGCATCTCCGAGAAGACCGTCTGGAAGGGAAGAGGGGGGGGTTCAGGGGTGCTGGGAGCAGCCTGGAACCCCCCCCACCCACCCCGGGGATCGTGGAGCTCCCGCACCCCATTTCCCCACAGCGTCACATCGTGCTCAGCCTCCCAAAGCCAAGTGGGAGACTCTTCTCTGACAGTTCCCAACCCGCACGTGGGGACAGGTTGGGCGGCTTGGTGGCCGTGCCCATCCCAGTGCCCACACCACTGCTGCCTGCAGCCCCCAGGGCACGCCCTCACCATGCCCCTGCTGCCCTCACCATGCCCCTGCTGCCCTCACCATGCCCCTAGTGCCCTCACCATGCGCCCGGCCTCGTTGTTGTGCAGGTTCATGAGGAATCGCAGGTCTCGGCCCTTCTCGCTGGAGTCCACGAACTCCCTCCCGAAGAGGCGCCCGAAGTCGATGTTGTCGCTGCAGCCCCCCCAGTGCCAGTCGGGCCCCCCAGGGCCACGGCGCCGGTAGTCGCAGGTGCAGGACTCGATGGAGCCCTCGGAGCACGACCGGGCCACCGAGTGCGTCACGCCGGCGCTGGTGATGGCGAAGATGAACGCCGTCTCCCTGCAGCCTGTGGAGGGGAGCGAGGCCTCAGGGTGCTGCCAGGGTGGGGAGGGGGCACCCAGCAGCACCCCCGACCCTCCACCATGACGGGCTGGTGACGGCCCGCAGCAAACCAGGGGCGCTTTGCCGAGCATCCCGGCTCGGGGGTGCACGGAGGGATTTGGGGGACCCCCGTGCTGCCCCCGCAGCCTCACCCCGGTTGACGATTTTGCCGAAGATGTTGGGGCCCTGTGAGGTGGGGCAGTTCCAGCGGCGGTTGCGGAACTGCCACTTGCACTCCTTGATGGCCGTCTGGAGGCCGGAGCTGACGCTGTGCAGGATGCCGGGGTTCTGCCGGATCAGCTTGCGCTGCTTGCGGCTCAGCAGCTGCAGGCTGGGGTCCAGCACCAGCTGCACGTTCTTGGAGTCCGTCAGCAGGTTGGTGGACGAGGCCACGTTGATGATGCCCCTGTGGGCACAGGTGGGGACGGTGACCACCAGCAGGGGGGTCCCCGGCATCTCCCTCCTCACCTCAACCTCCCCCGGGGACTCCTCGATACTGCTGGAGCATCCTCCTCCCCGGGTATCCCCCGCGG